AAACTATTGTTCTAACTGGACTGATTTCGGCACAAATACCTGTTACTCCGGTTTGCATAAAGCTGCGCAAAAAAATCTCCAAAATTTCCTGAGGATGATTCGAAATTGAAACGTTTTCCCTTCTACAAATGGCATCTGAAGGTGATTCCCTAACTCTTCAAGTTCCTAAGCATCAAACTACGATGTGCTTAGATATTGGGCAAAAACCAAAATCAACTTTGAAAAATTGTCAAATAAAGCCTGATGGCGGGTGAAAGTCCAAACTTTGCCCTCCAGTAAAAGAGACTTTGCTTCACAAAAATAATCCAAAAATTTGGTTCTCACCGGTCAACAAAGCCTTTATGCCTTGCCTGATGATGACTTTAACTCAAAACTTTGTGCGCTTGCCTAAGGAACTTTCGCACTTCAGACGCGATTTGAAAATCTTTCAATTCGAAATTCTTGAAATTGGCCTGATGATGACTGAGAATGACTTCTGACACTTGTGGAACAAACTTTGCGCCTCAAGCGTGAGAAAAAGTGACACGCTCCCCTAGCAAATTTCTGAGGAAATAAATGGGGCACAACGACTGAAAAATACGCTAAAAACGTTACCCAAACTCAGTGTTTTCGTTATCAAACCGTCAGTTGTGCACACAAAATAGTTACTTATATTCCGAATTCCATTCCACGATGGTTTAAAAGCTAGAAAATTATTGCCATTCTCATCATTTTACTGCATTAAACCCCAAATAAAAGTTCCTGCTGCTTTGAATCAGCCCTGGTAAACTGTTGGTGTGCAACAAGAACAGACTGGTCTCCATGGAAACCGCTATGTTATTCTCTTTCTTGACCGCAGCTGGGCTACGCCAGTTTGATTACAGGGTGCGGTAGAAAAGTTGATGCTTTTTCTAGGCCATTTCGGAAAGTTTGAGTTTCCTTGCATGTGTTCTTTTAGGGTCTGATCTGAGTTTATGGCACTTTTTGTTTCTCTTGCTGCGCTTAAAACGTGCATTAAAGGCCTGAAAAATTCCAGTGCAAATCCTCGTTCACATTCAATCTGATGTTCTTTTCATAAAGGATTAAATGGGGAAATTTCTGATTTGCACTCTGGTTCACTGATGATGAAGTTATGAAGGCGCAATTTGCGATACATTTGCAACTGTTGCAATGTCGGATTCTTTTGCAACCGCTCGCATGCGCTGTAGGTAGTTGACCGCGATGTGATCACCCCCTGAAGATGACTCTGTATGCTGCTGGCGAAACGTTCCCTTTTCTGAAGGAAAATTTGCTTCCGTGTTCAAGTTGCGCCATACACCATTATGCAAATCATCGGCGAAATTGCAACAAATACCTATCATATCTGGCCGTTTGTATTAAACTTGCTTGGTTTTATTGTTGTGG